TAATAGGAATATTATTGTTTTGTAAAAGGTTTTTAAAACTTTCAAAAATATTTTTCGCCGAACAATTTGTAGCATCTAAAGATATTAAGTTTAATAGCTGGGTTTTTACTTTTTTATCTATCGGTTATACATATCGTACAAGAACACACATAAGTTTAGTATCTGCAATATCTGTACTTTTATCTACTAGAATTGAAAATTTATGATTTTTTAAAATATCGACAAGTTTCTCTGTTTAGCAATAATTTCTTTAACTATTTTTGTACATTTAGTTTGAGCCAGTGAATGATCTTGTGCAATTTTCGAATCTATATAAATACTTTTAACAAAGGTATTAAGTGATCCGCAGTATAAAATGCAGTATTGTGCTCAGCAAAAAATCCTGCTAATTTTATTTCTGCACGTTTGACATTTTCTGCATGTAAATTGTTACTATTATTATTATTGTTATCACTATTGTTATTATCATTACCCAGGCTTTGACAATTTACTTTCTCTATATGCTTGGCCCTTAGCGAGTGGTGCATTTGATCCGTTTTGGTACATCTGATGGACTTTTTGCATAAAAGACAAAATGCCTTATTTTAGGATGAGGAGTCAATCATCCTTTAAGACAATTTTCATCTAACCATGAATTTTTGAATTTTCTTTCTTTTTTTAATTGTTCCTTTTGAAGCCATGTTAAAAAAATGTCTAATATATACATGTATACATGCAAAATAAAATGTTATTTAATTAATATATTGCTGATTAGAATTTATAATAGAATTAATTTAACACTAAAATCGCGGATCTAATTACAAAAAAGAAATAAATTCAATCGTGGTTCAAGGTAAATCTGACTTTTTACGAGGGAACGTTGTCATCATCTACGTGAAAAAAAATAATTGGAAAAGTAAAACTGAATAGGTAAAAAACGGCAGCGGTTTTAATGTTAATAAAAATTTACTTAACCTAACTACTTACGTCTTATCTTATGCCAACATTGCTAAATTTTACCTTCCCCGATCCATTGGAAACAAGATAATCGAAGAATATCGCCAACGAACAACATATCTTAGCCCGAGCATGCCAAAAACACTAAAATCTTTCGCGCCAACTAATAGCTGACTCACACACCGCTGCATCAGCTGCTGCTACCATTGTGCATGCGCCAGAAAAGCGACACATCTAGCAACACTGAACTAAGACACTAGGGCCGATATTCATAGTCAGTTCTTATATTCAAGATCATCTCAAGTTCAGCTTTGAGGTGTTACAAACCAATAAGAGAGCTACATTAGCGTATTAAGACATTACTTAAGACGGTCTTGAAATAAGAATCGACTATGAATACCGACCTAGATCTCTATAAATACATAAAAATTCGGGAAAAAACTTACACCATGTCTTGTTCCACCATAGTTCCTATTGCCACCAACGAGATACTATTAAAGACCGTCAACGTCAACCCTGGGCAAATTTTCAGCTGGGCTCAGCTCTCAGCTGACTGGACTGTGTTCGTGTGGTGCGGACGCGTTCGAGTGAGTTCCGGATTCCTTGAACATGGTAGTCGGATTTGTGCCTCGAGTGCTTATTTTATTGCGTCTCAGCAGGTTAACTGGGACGTCTTAGCTGCCCGTGACTCCTTCGCTTGCATTTTAATATCGGCACGAGTTTATGAGCGAGGCTTCGGCCTCGGCCGGCAGCCCGGGGGGATGGCTATCGCCATGTTGTCTCCCCGCGTCCACGCCGCTCTTTCTCTCCGTGTGTTAACGTAACGCTTGAGCATTTTAGTGAGTTTGAGAGCAGGCAGACTCTTTTGCACAGGATATCCTCCCCTCTTCCCCCTCAGGAATTTACATCCTGGTCGGTGGATGCCGACTCAGTCGTCTTCTTTTTTAATTAATGGCTCCCCCCTCCAAATAACAATAGGAGGTCGATACGGCCAGATCACGTCACTGAGTGTCCTTGTATAGTAGACAACGATATATAGTGGGTAAAGTAAAAGTTTTCTATGCCAACTAGGGCACCCATAGGGAGCAGAGTGCTCCAACCGAGTCGACACGCGACCGAGTGCCATATGTCAAGCGGAGTGGGAAGCTTCGCTAGGATGAGAGGGGAGAGGCAGAGGCAGGGCAGAGCCACTGCGCCGGTCGCGGAAGGGCGCCAAAGTACAAACTCAGAAATGCCTGCTACAAGTTTTACTGAAGTTAAGAATAAGTCGACAAAGGCAATCTGAAGGATTAGCGATAGCATGCGAGAATTTAACTAGTTTAT